GCTGAAAATAATGACGTATTTGCCTTTTTTGAGAGTTTAAGCAGATTTTTGGGATGAAAATTCGATTTTTTAAAGTGAGTATTTAAATTAGAGATTCTGTAAAGAATATTAAAAATTATACACAAAGTTTGGAAAGTGTAGCAGAAACTGCTAAAACAGAAAATTTACTCTAAAATTTACTAAAAACTGAGTAAATGTAGCAGATGAAGAAATTGGGAAATATCTTCTGAGACAAAAAATTGACTAGAAGTAACATAAATACCTATATAATGCAACAACTATAGAAAAACTAAAATCTAAAAATAGTAGAAGTGAGAATTAAAATTCTGAAACTGTACAACAAAATTGAGAAAAACAGGAGATTTTGCTAAAACTGAAATTTAAGATATCTCCTGAAACAAAAGCAGAAATAGAGATATGAATGAAAAGGTTAGAATTGATGTTAAAAATCTAAAAAGTTATCAGAACTTGCGATACTTAAAGTAGTAATACAAAAACGCACCAAAAATCTGAAAATTGCTGAAATAATTTTGCAATGCTAGAAAAATTGTACAATAAATTTTGAAAGTGAAGCACAATCTGCTGAAACAGAAAATTGCGATATCTCTTGAAACACTAAAAAATTGAAGAAATGTATCAGACTGAAGAAATCTAAAAAGTTGGCAATTTTTTTTAATACTTAAGGTAGAAAGAAGAAGAAAAAAACAATATACTAGAAATCTAAGAGTGGTAGAAATGTAAAAATAACTGAAAAAGTTATGTAATAATAATAAAAAAATCTGCTAAAACTGAAAAGTTGTAAAATATCTTCTGAAACAGAAACAAAGTAGAAAATTGAAATAAAAGATCAAAAATATCACAAAAAACCTAAAAATTTTTAATTAGCAGATTCTGCTGCGATATCCTCGGAAATAGAAACAAAAAAGATAATCAAAGAAAATAGTCCTAAAGTAATGAAGGCAATGTAAAAAATTATTCAGAAATAGTGGCACAGAAGTCTAGGAATAACAAAGAAATTCTATGAAAAAAACTAAAAAAATATACAATAATTCTGGAAAATATAGTAGAATCTGCCAAAACTGAAAAACTGAGATATCTTCTAAAATAGTGATAAAAAGAAAATTAAAAAATCTTTTTCGGTTTTTAAGAGACTTTAAAGTTGCGATAGTTTATACAGAAAATGATATAGAAAGAATAAAAAAAAGTCAACACCCCAACAAAACTAAAAGTACTAGAAATAGTGAATTAATGACGGAAAGAAAATTGAAAAGTTGTAGAAATTTTTTTCAATTTTTAAAAGATTTTCGAGTTACTAAAGTTTATGAAGAAAAATAAATAAAAAAGAAGAAAAAATAC